ACTTCGAGGTAGCTGCAGGTGGCGGAAGCTTGGCAGACGTGGCCTCTTTCCGTGCACTTCAAGTAAGCTGTTTCCACTGACAAATCCAATGCGCCTGCCAACAAAGGAGGACGCCTGATCGATAATCAGTTTCGAGATTGCGAAACTGCTATCACTCGTTTTCCGGAAGTAGAAGCAGTTCAGGGTCCTTTCGGCCCACGCCTGTGGTTGTACAATGCCAGACTTGCACTCGACCAACGTCAATCGGTATCTCCAAGCAAGCGAATAGAGAACGATAATTATATAGGGTATCAATCTAGAGTTCTGCATCCACAACCTACTGGCGCGCTCTACTTCTTGTTCTTCTGCATCAGCCTTTCCAGCATGCTTAGCCCATCATCATTGCTTGCCTTCTTCTCAGCAGGCTTGTCCTCGCTGACTTTCTTCTCCTCTTGCGCCTTCGGTGCCGCAGCACCACTCTTGATGTCTGCAGTCGCATTTTCAATCACACTTTTCAGCTTCCTTGGATCTGCGCCCTTGATCTCCTCAATCTGCTTGCCATCCTTGAACAGCAGGAATGTCGGCATAGCCTGGATGCCGTACTGTGCTGCAATCTCTCGCGCCTCGTCGACATTAACTTTGACGAATGCAAACTTGCCAGGTGCAGCGTGCACGGTGCTGAGCTGGTTGTAGATGGGTGCGATTTGCTTGCAGGGAGGACACCATGTTGCATAGAAGTCTGCGATCAGGTAGGTGTGGCCCGAAAGGAGGGTGCGAAAGTGCAGAGACTGAGTGACTTCTGTTGGCATGTTGACTGTGGCTGGTCTTGGATTGCTTGTCGTGTGCTTTCAAATATCCTATTGAAATTCTTTACGGCCTACGTGGGATGGTGTTTAGGAGATATCCTGGGTGTCCTGAGGTATTGAAGTCGTCTGTAGCAATAACTCAGTGCTTGGGCTGGTTTTAAGAAGGCGCAAGGATTGCGTGATGTTGTGGAAGATTCGATTTGCTAAGTATGTGATCGCAAAGAAGTTCCTAAGCATCTCGACCAATCGAAATTGTCATCCAGAAACGCCCCGCTCGTCCCGTTAGTGTTTAAGGCTGACAGACCTACAACACTCTACCAAAACTCACGGTTGGAAGAAAATTAGATAAATTAAAAACTGACAGTGATGCGTCATCGTGTACGGACAACTGTTGAAATGTGGCGTGTAATTGTAATCTATGACAGTCACATGGCTAATCACGAGCATGAACCTTCGGTTTGCCTCAATCCTACGAGTCACAAAATCCATCAGATAGCTTATACTTTTCTTCTGTCGATACTCTCTAGTCCGTCGTGTGGCTGCACAATTTTCTCATTCCTTCGACAGTGCTTCAGTGCACGAATCTAAAGTCCAGCCTCTTCATGCCCTCATCTTTTGTACTTACAATGTAGTCGTCCTGCTCTTCCTTTGTCATCGCATTCCACTGCCTGTCTCTGACTTTGTTGCGCCAGATATAGAAGGCCTTGACCAAGAAGAAGAGTACAATATTGACGCTGCAGATAGCAAGCAGAATCTTGTTACCACGCCGGTACAGTGGCTGGTCATCGTTGCGGTAGATATTTGACGCGATGATGTTGCCGGACTGCACAAACATGTTGTAGAACGCTGCTGATACTGCACGTGTACGTACTGAGTTCGAATTGGTCGCGTTCCAGCCGACGAGAATGGCGTGACAATACGGGTACGAGAGGAGGCCGCTGAGCAGCGCGTACCTCACCCAAGGATTGGCGTTGGCAGGGAGCGTAACCAGAGCTACAAGCCATGGAAAGATCCAGAAGTTACTCATGCTTGATACAATTGCTCGCTCTTTAAGCTTCTTTGATACCCAAGTTAGAATGAGCAATTGCACAGCGAAGAGGAACTGTGATGGAATGAGCAGCATGTTGGCCTGGAAAGTGCTGAATCCCAATTGACGCAGGATGTACGAAAGGTAGGTGCTGGGAGGCGCGGGTGGAATGTAGGCCACGAGTCCGATCAGGTACAGCGGCCACTGTTCCCAGTCGGTGATGGTCTTCCACAGAAGCTTCGGGCTAACGCCGGTTCTGTTATTCATGTCTCCCTTAGATGGATCGTCCCGTAGAATTCGGTTGACCATAATATACTCTTCGTGCTCACTGAACCATCCGTTCTTGCCACGGAACCAACTTGCGGTCTGGGTAGCGCCGGCCGGCATGAGTACCCAAGAGAAAACGCCGATGACGAATGTCAAAGTACCTTCGATTAAAAACCTTAAGAAGTCAGCTTAACCCAGCCGGCAGACTTCATGTCACTTACAAATACTTCCATCCGCCCCAGCCGTGGAGACCTCGCATCTGGAGGATACCAGCAGCTAAGAGGGATCCGACAATATTACAGAAGCTCAATGCTGTCCAGAACCATGCAAGGCGGGTTGGGAGTTCCCTCGATTTGAAGAAGTAGGTGAGCCATAGAACAATGTCACTGTGAGATTTTTCAGTTCCACAAAGACTCGTTTGATCAAGAAGGCTTTACTGACGGAATAAATCCCCCCATCAGAAGACCCAAGAGGGCGCGGATAGCGAAGTACTGCGACTTGGTCTTCAACGCACACTGAGAAGCGCTGACGATCGACCAAGCGCAGATAATGGTTGGAATCCATCTGCAGTTTTTCTCGTCAGCGCACATGACTCCGTAGTGGATTACCTCCTGCAAAGTCTTACCTGTCAGCTCCCACTTTCTTGCTGATTAGCCCACTTGGCAATTCGGCGAACAAGAACATTGCTAGAAAGATCTGGCATGTGGTCAGTGAAGATTCTTTGGTGGATGAGAAGCGACATACAGTCTGTCCGTGGTTGAAGTCGTTGGTGTTCATACCTGTGTAGTTGTTAGACCGATCCGTGTTGTGTTCGCCAGGTTGCTTACCAAGTTCTTTCAACATATTGTCTGAAATCGCGCGATTGATGTTCTTGCGGTTCAGATCCAAGGATACAAACATCATCCATGCCCATAGAGTAATTCGGAAGTCAAGCTGTCGCCCTGGTCAATCTTTGTTATGGTAATATTGGCAGCATTGTTACCTTGCGAACAAGTTTCCTCTCTTCCTCTGCAGTCCAGGTGTAGTTTGGATCGAACCGATGTCGTCCCTCGTATTCAGCCTTATCGTAGATTTCCCGCCAATACTGCGCCGTTACACGGTCGCTAAATGGGTGGTCATCATAGGAGCCGTAGATTGGACGCTCCTTGTCCGTGATCTGGGACGATGCCGAATCCGCCTCCTGGGTCACAGGTACCTGCTTCTGGTCCACGGGAGGTGCAGCCATGGTCTTTGCAAATATTGACCGAGGAAGGTGTTCGGTAACACTTTGCTATTAGCAAATCGATTGAGCTAGATTACCAGGCCCGCGAAGTGTACATATCCGAAGGTGATGAAGACCTTTTAAACAATCGAAAATGCTCTTGGGTATTCTTTCGGCCAAGGATGGTGCAACATCGCCTGCAAGTGACAACATCTCGGTAGGAGAAGGTGTGCTGCCAAGCTGAAGCCTCAAGTGCCACGCCTCTGGTGTTAGCACTCGATAAGAAATGGTACTACTGTAATTGGACAGAGTTCGGTGTATTTGACAAACTTGGCATAGAAGAGACGTAAAGCTCTAGAACTGGGAACGGGGTTCCTCAGATCGAACGTGCAATGTGCTTGGCTGCGTCGACAAGGCTTCGTAGTTTCGGCACTTATGTCCGCCATTGCTTGTAACAAAGTCTCCAACAACCATTACATCGGATCCCACTCGGCTGTTTGTCCAGTAGTGATAGACGATCGGTCCCACATGAACTCCTGGGGTCTACTTGGCGCTAGTTTTGCAGGAATTGTAACACGATCGCGGGGACACGATTACAGCGTATTGACTCTGCGGAGCATCAGCTGCCAGTGAAGGCTTCCCCAGGCCTGGCTTGCTCATTTGGACTAGTCTGCGTGGATTGTTTGCTGTCCTACGGGGTCGCTAGTTGATGGTGTTAGCGATAACGAATGTGCCCCCATGCTGGCACGTCAACATTCGAGAAATGGCGTCAGGCACCGCGTCTTGGCTCACAGTAAAGAAGCCGCACTGCCCGCGATATCGCAGTTCGAGAGTGCCTGGGAAAGAGACAGAATCTGAAGGCGTTGCTCCCGCAAGTCCAGAACGTGCTATGGCTGAGCGAATGGATGTCGTGAGGATGGTACAGATGTCGTCAACGGCGGCCAATCGGAGACGTGCAAAGGCAATGACTACTTCTTGCTACCATCAAGCTGCAGGGAGCTTCTTTATGGCGAAGGGCTGGGTGAGCATCTCGCTTTGCGATGACTGATGATATGAGATGTTGACAGGACTGATGCATGGTGCAAGGCGGAGGGGTGCAGTGATGCAAGTGGGCGAGCAACATCGGAGGTAGGGATAGAATTAATTTCAGCAGAACACGCTGCTCTTAGAGGTCATGTTGACTGTACTCAGATTTGACCACTAAATTCGATGGTATGGAATGAATTCCCCTAATCCAGATTTTTGGTCGTCAAGCCCAACATGCTTACGTTGAATTTGGTTGTTCAGGTTCAGATACGACTTCATGTTCTCCAAGGTGATATCGCTGCGCCAGCTCTTTCCAACACAACGACGACACAGCGAATAATTATCAAAAGTGCAATCTGCACTATCTTGTCTCGAGTACGTTGTCCGAGCCGAAAGGGCGTTCTTCGTCTGCGGAGTCGCGAACGGTGGGGCAAACCTCCGCCCCGCTGGATTTTCGACCCCTGACCTCTTTTCACCCACCCCTTCACCACCCGCATCATAAGTTTTCTATTTTGACTTCTCTCCATCAACCAATCATAAAACGTCGCCCTCTTGGCTTAGTGGTAAAGCGTATCACTAGTACTCCAACGTTCTCTTGGAACGACCTGGCTTGCAAATGATAAGATCGCTAGTTCGATTCTGGCAGAGGGCAGTGCGGCTTTCGGGCTGTTGCAACATCAATTCGAGTTTCTTGGGCGCTGTGGCGGAGTGGTTATCGCGCAAGACTAGAAATCTTGTTCCTTCGGGAGCGCAGGTTCGAATCCTGCCGGCGTCGTCTCAAGGCTCTTCTTTTTTTGCTGTTCTTGTACTGGGCAGATAGAGGAACGATCGTCGGTGGTGCTTGGGTGGCGTCGGTGTTGGACGTGGAGGTGAGATTCTGTGGTCGAGAAATTTTTGTGCTCTAAGAACATACGCATAACTTGCAATGCGCCAGAGAAGGCAATGATGTGGCATGAGCACACGCAACACTCATTTTAGTGGCTACACAGTGCACAGTGTGATTCACTTCTTATCATTGAGTGTAGTCTTCGAAATGCCCAGTGGCTGCTCTGAACTGACAAAGATACAACATTCACATTGATGAATACAGCCACATGTACAGCCTCATGCAGTTTCCGAGTCTAAACTGCACTTTCCTGCGCTCAATAGTGCCGCCCCGGGTGCATACTGTCGAGGCTTTGTCAGCCATCCACATCCACCACGCACAATGTACTTTTTCTGGCTTACCTAGGACCCCTGCGGCCATGTTTTGCAATCAGACTTCTGGATTCGCCGCACAGCCAGATATGCGGACCAGCTTCGCCATCCTCAAGACCGTGCTGATTGATTGCATGTTCTATCTGGCGGGCTCGGGCACGATTCGAGCTCAATGTAGTAATGCCCTCACCCCAGCCGTAGAAGAATATTGAGGCATTGAGTCGGCTCATCTCCTCCTGGAGTTTACGTGCTGCGGCAGGCAGTCGCGAAGCAGCCGTGTCGATATTACTTTGTACGATACGAATGGGCAACTTGAATCCCTCAGGAACTGGATGGTCGGACATCGAGACCCATTCAGCCACAAGATCTGCTGATGCGCGACCCTCGCAATCGTCTTTCGCAACAAGCAGCTGGGCCCGCCGCTTCTCCTCGTCGGTTGCGAGTGTGTCCACAATGAGGTTCATCTGCTCAGCGGCTTCTTCAGTGCACACCATTGAATGCGAGCCGATCGCTGGGTACAAATGGGTTGGCAGCAGATTCTCGCCAGCTTCTTCCTTAATTTGAGCTTTGACTTCGCCAGGATACCAATCCAGAATTGGACAAGGCTTATGAGATATGTCGGAAATGAGGGCAAGCAAAACCGTGCAATCGATATTTAGCGTCTCAGAGAGTGCCCTTGTCCTGTCCACCAGCAAATTGTTAAGAACCGCCTCTACAGGTTGTGGGGGAGGCACGTCATCAGCGCATTGCACAATCGCACCTGTAGCCCGGATCTTTGCAATGATTGCGTCCACTTCCTTCATCTTCCCTGGTACAATGCGTGTCAGTACGAAACGTACTTGGGGTGGTCTCCCTTGTACAGGGTTTGCTCGCGCAGCTCGTGCGAGCTCCCGTGCGTTCCTCACGACATCGACCTGGTCCTCGTCGTCCTCGTCTTCCCAGGAAACCGGGCGTGTCTTATTCGCATCATCGTCCATATCTTCGTCGGAATCCGAATCATTGACCCAGCCTAGCTTCGCCAAGTCGAAAATGATTCGCTTCTCAGACACGGTTGATACCCGTATCCACTCTCTGCCTTCATCTGCAACAATATCGACAAGTGCCGCCGTCTTTCCTTTCCCGATCCCGCCCTTCCCAAGACTCAGACCTTTGAGAGTGCGTTTGCCGGCCGGGGCTTTATGCCGGTCCCAGAAGTAGTATTTCCGGAAGGCTTGTAGTCCACGTGATCTTTTTGCAGCGCCCCATAGTGCTTCGTAGTACGTAAGATTTGACGACACAATGAAGTGGCGGATCTTTTCCTCAGTTTTTCCAGAGTTTACAATCTTTTTCAGAAAAGCAAGTTCGTTTTTGAAGTCGTTGCGTAAATTCCTGTACTCCACCGGATGTTGTACTCTGGTGATTTTCTGGCGTTCGATGACTGCTTCGACATAGACTTCTACCTCGTCATACAAGGTTTTGCATCGGTTGATGAGATCCTGGACAGTAGCATCGAGATCTTCGCCATTCTTATCGCCGGTTCTGCTGGTCTGGTCGTAGCTGCTAATGCTTGTCGCGTCTGTCTCGAGGTCTAATTTGCTGAATTCTGATGAGATAGAGTCTGTCATGGTGGAGGCGGGAAGCGAGCGGCTTCTGCAGATGCTTGACAGCGAATTACAATCGTTCAGACTTGAAATATAACGATGGTCAAGATAATCTGATATTGTGGAAGAACCTAGGATTTCGATTTACAAAGTCCATTGACTGATTGAGTCACGCCTGATTGGAAGGTTCGACGGTGTTCTTGCCTCCACACACAGCCCGCTGTTGCCTATTGTCAGACTCAGCACAGCGCAGTCACAGCTTCTGTGGCTCGTAGAACACAAGCTGTACTGCTCTAAATTCCAAGAGGGTGTCGCGTGCATGAAAGTCGTAAGTATCATTGACAGCTCCAACGGGCCGACATTCATCCCGGCGAAATCTTGGCAACGGACCCCGCCAATTACCGACCATCTCTCGCAGCGCCGAACCCCAGAGCACCCCACACTATACAATGCCGTACCTCAAGACCAGTACCGAATGGTACGAGCAGTCGTCGCTACTGCTGAAAGCTAGACCGACCAGCGTAGGCTACAATTGCCATTGACACGACTCCTGAGAGCTAATGTCTTGAAGACACGCATCACATCCAAGTATACCGTCCTTAAGCCCTCCGCCTCGAAGATAAAGAAGCGCGAGAAGTACGCCGCCAAGCAAGCAGCGAAACCTGCAGACACATCACGGGCATCGTCGCCTCCGCCTCAATCGAACCCTCAGGATGCGACAGCGACTTTTGTTCTGAAGACATACGACCCTGTCTCAGGCACATGTCTCCAGTATGAGACCACAAAAGGCGCAGAAGTGGGGAGATTGATCAACAGCCTCGGGCGGCTTGGTCGTGAGATGGCAGCACTGCCCCAGGCTATCGAAGATCTGAGCGCGCCCCAAGATGCTGGTGTTGCGACACCGAACGTTGATGAGGGAGGGGACGTTAAGATGGCCGGTGTTCCCGTGCCAGCGGCTGCAGGGACAGGAGGCGGAAAGAAGAAGAAGAAGGGCAAGAAATGAGCAGTATAGGATCAACATGTTCAGACAGTCCAGCCAGGATTACGCGATAGCGCGTGCCCAGTAAGCATACGTACCACAAGCGAGACTAGATGAGTCGGAGATGGGAAGAGGTGGATAAAGATTCGGAGAGGAGATATTACGGGTTGTGAGCGAGCCCTAGAGTGAGTGCCAGGTGGAAGATACCCTGGTTCATTCCACATAACAAATCATTACAAAAGTGCAGCAGCCGCTGCTAGGCCACCTTTTCTCGAGTCTACAGTCGTTGAAATCCCACGAAAAGCCCCTGTCTACTTGGCGCATGCCGCTCCAAGGCTGAGTTTTCTCGTCTTCTTGAGCAAAGCTCACATACGTGCATCGCCCCTCGTGCCATCCGTTTGCCATATCTACCAATTTCTTGACAGCTGCAATCGCCCAGCCTTTATTTCCAAGTCTAGTAAAGCGCCTACCTATCATGCGTATGCGTGAGAGCTCCCTAGTCGACAACAGCGCCTTTAATACCCAGGCTTATTCCGTAGAGAGCGCTACAGTCAAGAACATCGATAAGTCTACCAAGTAGTTGGTGCGAGCAACTTTGTTCTCGAGGCGATCGAGGCACTGACATTAAGACTGTAGCAGGTACATTGTCTATTTTCAGGTGCTGATGAGGTCTGGTAATCTTGGTACACTTTCGCACGCATAAGGCAGTGCCGAGCAAGGTCAGACAAAACTACAATGAAGGATCGTAGCTCCACGGAGCTGGAGATAGCTGGAGGCAAAGCTGACAAGACGTGATTCTGAGATGGGTTTCAGAGCCAAAGCCAGATGTTCTTAGGTTAAGGCATTGAGTATGTGTATGCTATACCATAAGACCAGGTCATTCCTGTCTATCCCCCTCAGACAAGATCAAACGCAGATTTGCGTCAATTTGGATGTAATGAGAAAATCACATCTTTACGTTTTGGATAGTAGCTTGGAAGCCTATAGGGAAATTTGTCAGCCTCCAATGGATACAGCTCAAGAAAGTATGCAAAGTATGGACACGGCTGCGCGATGGGTTAATACCATTGGCTCTTCGTTTTTTCCTGATTGAACCCTTCACGATAGCCAAGTAGCTACCCGGAGCTGGCAGGGTCCTGGGGTTCAATGAGCTAAAATGGTGTGGATCAGGATGGGTTTGTGGCGTTAGCAGTCGCTCGGCCCAATGGCCCCTTCCTATGACATAAGTGCCGTGGAGATGTAGCGTTCCAAGTTTGTCAAGACACTCTCAGGCCTGTTTTACAACCCGGAGAAGAGCCATCGAGATAATCCTAAATACTCGATCAAATTTTCGATTCAAGGTTGCACCGGCTGGGTCATCGACAACGCCGATGGTACGTCCGCTTAAACTCAGTGATGGTATATTCTGTGTACCTTCCTTATTGAACATCTCGTTCTTTGCATTACATGCGATGATGCGGCACAGTTCTTTCTGCGATGGATGGCAGCGATTGCAAGCGGCCACAATGTTGTGAACCGTTATCCAGAACATCTAGAACCAGCTGGAACACTGCAACAAGGGTCCAAGTGTAGGCAAGGCTGCTGGTGTGCATCGAGGTTGTCAAAAACGTGTTGTGTAAGCGTAGCGTGACGGTAGATCAGCACTGTGCTTGAAGACCCTCATTCTTCCCGCAGGATGCCCACAGGATTGCCAAGAGCGGATGATCTGAGGGCAAGGATAGCCAATTATCAGGAGATCTTAAGCTACTCCCGCTTGCCCTTATCACCCGATCGCAGGGTGCAAGACAGCTCCAGCTTCCTCGTTTTGTTTGTATGGGGACACGTGGTGGGCATCGCGACGCTTGCGCGCCTCTTCTGGTACGCAGTAACGAATGACCTTAGCGTTGCGGTGAAGGTGTGCTTGAAGCTCCAGACGTCATAGCAATGATGCGCTACGGAATACTACTGCCGCCGGCACAAAATGTGGGGCATATGTAGACTTGGCGGTCCGTGAAGTGTGGCTGACACGCGTCCCCAGTA